AGCATTGTTTTGAAAATCAGGGAAAAAATGTAACTGAGTACGGTATGAAACTAAAAGAACCTACAAAAAATGAAACTGAATTATTACCAGTTAAGAAAAATTCTACAAAGAATGTACTGGAACGTAAAAGAAAAAACGTGATAAAGATTCCTCGTTCATCCACCCATATACTTTTTACTTGTTTAAAACCCTCTTGCAATATATTATAGTCTAAGTAAGGTAAATATAAGTCTGCCTCCACATCCATCAACTTACAGACTTTTTACTTGTTTAAAACCTTCATGCAATCTCATCTTTCAAAACTTTAACGTTTTTAAATTTCATCATCGTGAACATTTTGAATTAGGGAATACATTGATGTGTTGGCAATGTTGTGTGCCAATGATGTCTTTAAATAGTCTTAGAGCTCATCAAGTACAAGGTAACTGTCGTATTCCTGGAATGTTCAAATGTTATCAGTGTTCTGAACAATTTAATGATCTTCAAAGTTTGAGTATTCATAAATTTACCTTACATGATGGTGAATTAATAACAAATAAAAAAAATAATAAAAGTCTTATGTGTGCATATTGTAATAAGGGAATTCTCATTGATAATTTTAGATCTCATTTGATCACATGTCAATACAATAATGTAGAAAAGCATTTAAAAATTAAACCTAAACTGAAACCTACACTGGCTAAACCTAAAACTACATACACTAAAAAGTATAAAAGTCCTTATAAATGTATTATTTGTAATAAAGTATGTCTCACGGCAGCAGCCTTATCAAGTCATATAAAAATTCACAATCCATCTCCATCAAAAAAAAAAGGTGAAAAAAAGAATGAGTAATACATCTCTTAAAACTGAATATCTTGAAATGATTAACTCTGGTGTTAAACAAGAAACTGATGCAGAATTATATCAAAGTAGTTCTTCTCAACATAATGATACAATTGAATCTATTAATGACATGTCCAATGCTGGTGAAAATAACGAAATAGATGTTGAAATGAATACATTATCTGATAATTATCTGAGTAATGAAACAATGGAATCTGTTACTTCTGGCCCAGATTTATTGAAATGCAAAAGTTGTCCTAAAAAATTTAAATCAAATTCAGGAATGGCAAAACATTCCCAATATTGTGATAAAAAAAATACTTTGAAAAGTAAACCCCAAAATTATTATTGTACTAAATGTAAAAAATATTTTACACGTCTTACGTTTTTTCAACATTGGAGAGTACATCATGGAAAGAGACTTCCATATCATAAATATAAACGATATGCGTGTAAACAATGTCCGTTTAAATTTATATACCAAATAGCATTAACAATGCATGTTGAACATGTTCATGGTGTACAAGATAACAATTTAGCTGTTACATCTAATATGACAACTATTGACTGTGTAGAGATGTTACCAGTTATATCTGAAACGACATCATTGGCTAACAATATTCCTGAAACAACATCAATGGTTAACAATATTCCTGAAACAATATCAATGGTCAACATTATTCCTGAAACAACATCAATGGCCAACCATATTCTTGAAACAACATTGGCTAACAATATTCCTGAAATATCATTGGCCAACAATATTCCTGAAACATCATTGACCAACAATATTCCTGAAACATCATTGGCCAACAATATACCTGAAACATCATTGGCCAACAATATTCCTGAAACAATCATAGAAAATGATAAGAAATTCAATGTACAAATTAAACAAGAAGCAAATGCAAATACGTTATTAAATCAATGGGAAGTGTCTGATAATGGAATTAAAGAAAATATAATAGAACATAATACAAATGAAGGAAATAATGAAATCAATGATCTAAAAAATAATGAAGAACCAAATGTAAGTAATAATAATGATGGCGGAAAAAATGAAACTGATGTTTACACTGCTCAAAGTATAAATCAAATTATAGATCAATTGAATGATGGTGAAACAATTGAGGAGCTCTTTTATGATGAGGATACAATGGAAGTTAATAATGTATACTCAATGGATGTTTCAGAATGTGCCAATAATTATATTGATAAAGCAATCACTGAAATAGATGAAAATGAAACAAGTATATTATCTCCCGTTATAGAAGAAGAGAAGCAAAATTGTTTAGATAGTGAATTGGTAGCATTAAATGATACAGAAAATGTTAATTATGTAAATGAAGATAAAATCAATAACTCAGTTCAAGCACTCCCTACTTCAGATGAATAAAACACCAAAGAATAAACAAGTTTATTGACCTTTAGCATTTTTTATTTACAATGTACCTAATCTATTTCACTGACGTTTAGTCAACACTGAAGCTAACTATATTAAACTTAGTAAAGTGTAATGAAAAATGACTTATTATAACTGACATTAAAAGAAAAAAATCTCTTACACGCTAAAAATATAATTATTTTATTTTTTGTTGGATAAAACTATTATTATTTTTTTTTTTTTTTTTTATTGATAATCTTTGTTGAATCTAATTTTGTGTCATAAAATTAAGTAAGTTTTTAAGAAAGTTGTAATAAATAACTGGTGAAACAGTTAACTTAATATACAATTAAAATTTTTAATTATTATTAAATTTAGTGATTAAGTTAAGGCATAAAGTAGACTTTGTACTGATATTTATTTAAATTTTGTATTCCTAAAATGTATTATGCATTTTTTACTTTAATATGTATTCTTTTTATTATATTACACCAAAATATCTTAAGTGAGTAATGATTTAATAGCTTTTCAACAAACTTAAAACAATTACTTAATTTTAAATATTTGTTACTCAATTTAAATATACATAATTATTGATTATGGATTTTTATAAATTAAATGAATAGCCAAAATTGTATAATGGTATTCAGGTTTTCAAATACTTTTTCTATACAAATGTATACTGTACTAATACCTTAAACTTGTATCCATTGTATTATTATTTTAAAATAAAATTGAAATGACACATAATAATAGAAAAATGTCACCTCTTAATTCTGTATACCTAAAAATCAGTGGCGACTCTTGGTATGGTGCACACAGGAGCACATGAATTACCCAAAAATATTTAATACATCATTATTAGACTCCTATTGTAAATTATAATTAATTATTATGCACATGGTCTGTATGAAACATACGTTTTTGTATTCCCTGTGGCCGTATAAATATTAGTTGTATGTGTTTACATGTCATTAGTAATTTATTATGGTTGTTTGAAAAACCTAGGCATATTTTTATTCTACTGCGGTGTCCCGTCAATTGTTGAATGATAACRCATTACTTTACATTGGTTATTAATTGACACATAGGTATAATTGTTGGAAATGTAATTATTGATTAATTTTATTAGTATAATAATTATACAGCTCAAATTATAAATTATAATTGCTTAAAGATTTTTGTTTGTTTGTTTGTTTAATTCATAATATTTCTATAATATGTTATTTTCTTTCTTATCTTTATACTTTACGGCGATAAAAGCTAAAACAAATTAAATTTAAATAAGTAGGCAAATTATTTTATGTTTGTACCTTACCAAAATTAATGTTATTTATTGTCTTACGTGGTATCTTAACCTTTTTTTGTGCACTGCCTTATGCTTGTGAACATTGTGAGTAGAGAATGCTAAGAATATTTTATTAAATATAAAATACTGGGTATTAATTTACATTTATATATATATATATATATATATATATAAAGTTTGAATAAATATGACTTATGTGTACTTAAAAATCAAACTGCATATAACATATTATAGTACATCCTTATTAAACAAAATTATATTATTTATCGTACAACTGTTTTGGTCTATACTACACAAAGATATAAAACAAATTACAGTTCTTGCTAATTTTATATCCTAACAGAAAATTAATTATTAGAATTTATAGAGTCAAAATAATATCTTATGAATTTATTTTATTGCATTAAATTTTTTGTCTCATCAACTTCAATATAATATTTTTTTTAACAAATCAACATACCTGTTAAATGTTATCTATAATCTTTCATTTTACTTTAATGTTTAAATTGAAGGAGTGATCAGTTTATTTTATTTAGGAATAATAATGAACACCAATGCATTTAAAAGAACAGTTTTATGCTTTAACTCTTGAAGATGCATTTAAGACGAAACAACAGAATAAATTAAAATGTTTATTTAATCTGTGGCAAAGCCAGTCTTTAAGTACTTTAGTATACTTTTTAGTACTCAATGATATATTTTAAGTTCTTTCTCAATTCAACTAATTAAATATTTACTTAATAATTGATATATTTTAATTTTAATCATTTTGAGAAAAAATAAAAATATATATTGAAATTATGGTATAATTGTGGTTAGTTGTACCAATATAATAATATAATTTGACTTATACCTAACTAAAGATTCAAATACATTAACAAAGAAACAGATGAGTGATTTATATTTTTTAATATTACCAAATGATAATGTATAAAATGTTCAATTCAATTAATGTATTTTTTATAGGTAACATTAAAATCATAAAAAAAATAAATGATCAAGTTGATTTAAAGATAAACAAATTTGAAATTATTAATTTGTTTCAATTAATAGTTTTTTTGAATTAATATGATAATTCTTTTAAAAATAAGTACCTTTAAAAAGTACATTTTAAAAGACTGAACCAAATGACAATTAATAGTCACTATTCTTATTAATAATTGAATACCGTGTTCATTAGACAGTGGTTTCATTTTGTCACCTCAAAACTTCAAACGGTTCTCCTGTAGGCTGTAATTGGGTTTAATCGCCATAACTAGAGACGTACTGCAAGTCAAATCGTTAAGATTCAAATTTAAAATTGCCGCTATATACCTGGAACAAGGTACAATGTATTGAAGCATGTCGATCAATATGATACGGTTTCCATCGTCCTTGGAACGCATCATACCGCGCGTCTGATCTTGTGCCCACCATCCTAACCATGGACGGAGGTACATCTAAAAACCGACAACTAGCGCATGCCCCTACTCCGCATTCCACAATCACGGTTTCCGTTTATACTGCAGCTGTTAAATGAGCACCCCACCAAGTTACCGGTTTCGATATTCGGTGGTAAATTGCTGTACTACTCGTGAACGACTCCACTACTCTAGTGACGCCATTTGGCCATTTCATTATTTCAACATTCGGCGTTTCGGTCTGTGGCCTGTCATTTGGTAATTTGGTATCCATTTAATGGCCGTTTGCCCAGTCTCCTGAGGATGATACCTATCGTTTCTCGTCGTAGTCGTCGTGGTCGCCGAGTTTTACGCCGACCAAGATTCATTTTAGCCAACGGTATTACCATTGACGCAAACGGATTTTTCGTCGACCCACTCAACATGTGTCGCGTTTGTCTCTGTGACAAACAACAAGACTACATCGACGCAACGGGACCCAACGAACCAAATCTGATGCAGTACGTCAGCGAATACTACAAAGTTCACGTGAGTAATTTTTGTCCATGTGTCCCAAACCTGTCGAGTCTATTTCGTACACTATTGTCTCACATTGCTTTCTGGGCGTTAGACGCAAGTAGATTAATACCATTTTTTATACAGAGCTAATGTACGCGACGGTGCATCTATTATTGTTGCTCCGTGGTATGTCGACGTGTTGGGGCCTTTGTGTCGCTTCGTCACTTTAAGACAGCAGTACATGTGCACGTTGTTTGATGGATTATGTTACGATAATTTTATTGAAACGTTTATGGTTTATATTTTGCTTGGTGTACACTGCATTCTGGGTATCTATTATCCACCTACTTTAGTATCGCCCTACTTACATTGAAGACAATAGTGGTTATAATGATTGGTGTGTTGAGGGAAGAGGTGTTGAACCTTTTTATAAAATGTAATAATTAAGGTGTGGTTTCCTTGCAGTGCTGGACAGCCAAATAGTCTGATGTCTAGATGTACGATTTGTACTCTTATGATAAATGCTGCAGGGAAGCTGTACCTTTCCACATTATGATCTCTGGGTCTACAAAAATTATAGTCCCTATTTACGTATTATGTAGTTAARGGAATATAAATTATGCTCAATAATAAAACTGCATGTTTTTCAAAGGGAAATTAATAACGATTGATGTATTATACACATCCAACATTATATTTAATCTTATATAATGCTGTATGCACATRACCTCAAGGCAATGCACATGTGTCAAGTAGACCAAAAACACAGACTTAGTTGAGCATATTTCTTATTCCTCATACTAAAGTTCTGTATATATTTAGTGTTGATAAAAATGTACGGTTTATAGGACATCGGTTAGTACAATAATATTGGTTAGCACTACTGAAATCTTATAATCCACAACATTATTGCCTATTTTATTATTGTGATATTTTCAGGAAATATTGTTATAATTGTGTCATTGTTTTATTTTATTTTTATTTGATGATTATACTCCCCGAAGAGCATTTAGTTATAAAGTACAGCAAGTAGATAAACAAAATTAATACAATTAAATATTAGATAACTGGTAGTGAAGATAGTAAGCTGAAAAAAGTGGTAAGACTAAGATTGGTTTAATAGGTGTAACATTCTGAGGAGAGGCTGGTTATGAYCATCCGAGGTAGGATGGTTAGGGATAGAGAAAAGAGAATGGTGTCTCGTAGGGTAGGATGGAACGTGAAATTAAACAGTGGCTACTAAGTCGGGAGAGTCGATAGTACCCGTTGAGTAGTGATGTGATGAACTTGAGGTCCGCGTGATTACGGCGTGATGCCAGAGTTGRGATATTGAGAAAGAAACGGATAACGGTATAATCATGGGGTGAGTGTTCAATATTTAATAAAAAGGCAATAAAAGATAGGAACCGATTTTGTACTTGTTCAAGGCGTAATTGATCACAGGCCAGATATGGAAAACTAACGATCGATCCATACTCGAGGATGGAACGGACAAGGCTGAAGTAGAAGGTACGGAGACGGGTGGCGGAGGTAAAGAAGGTTGTGTTCGTTTGATGAATCCGAAGATCTTCAAGCTCTTCCCAACAGTACCATTTAAGTGGTGTTTGAAGGAGAGGGTGGGTGATAGATAGAAGCCTAGGTCTTTGATAAGATGAACGCTTAGGAAGAGGGGAGCTACCAAGGTAATATGAGTGTAGTATGGGGATACGTTTTCTGCAGAAAGTCATTGAGTGACATTTGTCCAATTTGAGGGGTAGGTTAAGCTGTCGCGTCCAATCGAAGAAGGCATCAAGCTCGGTTTGTAATAAAAGGCAGTCAGCGGGAGAGTTAATTTTACAAAATATTTTTATTTCATAGCAAATAGGAGAACCTAGGCAAAAGAGAAACACTTATTTATTGAATTTACAAATATGATAAAAAGAAGAGGACTCAGATGACCTCCCTGTGGAACACCCGAGGAAATTACAGATAATTCTGAAACGGCTCAGTTTAGCTTAACACATTCACTGCTGATGCWATCATTTAGCATTGTTCCTGTATTGGCGTCATCAATTTATGATTTTTCTTTTCTTTATAATTTTATCAGCGTTACAGATAAACAAATAAGTTTTTGTCAGCGTTATCTACCAGTATTGTTTAATCGKTTTGTGCTAGTTGTACCTTGATAATTCTAATTTTAGATTTTGGTTTATCCAATTTTATCTGTTACCTATTTCGTCAATTGTGTTTATTATTTCAATTTATATTAAAGTACATGACAACATTACATTGATGACTTTGAGTAATTATTTGGTATTAAATTAATAAAATTTAGTAATGACGACAATTAGCGTCATGCCGCATATTAATAAAATATTTGGGCTGGGTGCGTATGACGCCAATTGGCGTATTAAATATCTTACATTAAAATTAAGGATTTGTAACCAATTTATTAATTTGTCTTCTAAAAGAAATTCTGGAATGATCTTCACTTAAATAAAACTTAGAAACTAGTTAAGGTATTAACAACCTAATGTTAATTAGGTTAATTTGAATGTTATATAGCTATTCATATTCTAATTTGTATAATATATCAGTAGGCTTAGATAGCTATTCTAGCTAGAATTCCTTAATTAATAAAAAAAAAAAATTCATATTCTGTCCACTGACATCTCGACTGACAATGAAATACCTTTACATGTGCGAAATGGTATACTTCCTTCTTGATCCGGAGTAGTATACACTCTTAATTTAGGTTAATGTTTCTTAAAATATTACTTCAACAATGATATTACTCGTAAGTTTAAACATATCCTATGCCCCGTTCACTGAAGTACAATAAATCATTGTTTATTTATTTTCAATAGGCAGTAGACAGTTTCTGTTACTCATTAAAAGAGCCATATGTCTCTATAGTATATTTACATACCTAATTCTAACGTTGGTTTATTTTTACTGGAGCAAAATTACACATCATTTCATTAGTAAATTAAAATATAAACTGCCATAGCTAACGACTGCAACTTTAGCACAGAAATGAAATAGCAAATGAAAATATGTTTAGATTGGTTACTCAACAAGTAATCAGTAAACAAAAAAGCTAGGGAATCAAGCATTGTACAATCTTTTTGATTAGCTCCACAAAATACACAATCAATAATGATTAGAATTCGCAGCAGTGGGGATCCTTGATCAATTCCAGGGGGGGTTTTCACATTAAAGACAATAAGTACTCAAAAATAGAAGTCATAAAAAAATTTATTTCATGTAATAATTTTATATTTTACCAAGGGGGAATTATCCACCCATCGTTCCTTTCCCCCCCCCCCTCCCCGGTAGGACCGCCACTGATTCACAGCCGTATAATTTCTTAAATTCTACCTTTTTTTATGATTAACCTTGACTATCCTGTGCTAAATTAGGTATGTTTATATTGGTAGAATGGATAAAATATGTCACAAAATGCCAAGCAAAGAAATGGAAGGCTGACATTCGTGGACTATGTTGTAGTGGTGGAAAAGCAGTTATACCTAAAATCCCCAAACCAAAATCAGTTAGGTCATCCACGGGAAGTTTTGAACATGACTAGCTGAGTATTAAACACTAATTTTTAATCATATAGAGTTGATATTCTTAACGGGTAACGAAGTCCATGGGAATCGGCCGTTATATTATATAATACCGTGTGTCCTAAGAAACAGGGTGCACTTTATCACTCATTACCCTGTAAATATCTTTCGATTCTGTTTAAAGAACATTAAACTAGACTAATCGATCATAAATGCTCATGTTTTTTATGCATGTGCAAAAAAAATTTTCAAACGGCAACCCCTATTTTATATATAAATTTTGGTTCGATTGATTTTTTTGATAGGTTAGGTTAGGTATTTTTTGGGACACACGCTATATAACCCATAAACATCAAATTTAATTTTGTATATTTTGAGTATATTTTTCCTACTCCATAATGTTTTGTCATGTTAGAATTTCTTAGATGTCAAGAGTCATCAAAAGTAATACATTTGAGGAGAACCCATCCTTAAGTTCTTAAACAATTAGATTTTTCAAATTCATATAACTCAATTTAAAATGAATGTATAATAAAAATTTTGCTCAGACTTAGGTATATTTATTAATTAGAAAGTTAATACTATATTTTTTAAAGTCCTTTCAAGAGTTCTTTTTAAATTCTGATGTTTTTCATTTCCCAATTAAATATCTACTAARTTATATTATCTTACTGGTCTCAACAATGTTATAAACTTATAACTTATTTCTAATTTTATACTTACTCTTAACTGCATGTTTACAGTGTAGGCTGACTAGGTCCGGGCTTGACCAATTTTTATTTGCCTGTTTGGTTTTTTTTTTATCCCGAGTAAAAATGAATGATAAAAACTGAATTCCCGTGTAATCTTTTTATGGTGTGTTCTAAATTTTACGTAAACAAGCTACAAATCCAAATCAAAATATGTAGTTTAAATTAAAGAGAGTTTTATGTTGCAACTAAAAATATGACGAAGAAACAGCTCTTAAAAACACATCTAAGAGTGTGACATTATACTGAAACCTGGACAATTAATAAAAAAGATAATGATTGACTCTCTGGAGATGTGGTGTTAGAGGAGATGCAGATAATAAAATAAGCTGGATTCATAAAAAACAAACGTAAAGAGATGGCAGATGATAGGACACACGTTGAGGCATGGTGACGAACTGCATAGTATAATAATCGAAGGTATGATAGAGGGTACAAGATCAAGAGGAAGACCTAGGACGAAATACATTAGTCAAATAATGCAGGATGCAGGAGTCACTTCCTACAGAGAATTAAAAAATATGGCACATGATTGAGAAAGATGGATAAGACATTTACCGGGAAAAATTTGATAAAAATCAATCTTCGTATTGATAAAAAATTTGTAATTTCAAGTTGTTCTTTCTTAAAATGTTATAAAGAATTAAGATTGAAGTTATATTTCCTAGTATATTACTCTGAGTATTTAATCAATATTTTTAATGAAGATCAATTGATATACTTTTTATCTTTAAATCTCACCAGTAAAGTATTTTAAGCAGATTTAGTATGTATTGCTCTTGTTCATTATTTAATCAATATTTTTAAAAATTGTTTGCTTTTATTTTTAATATTTTCAAAATAAAAATAATAAACCATGTTAGGTACAAAAAGGATAACAGCCAAAACTGGAAACCAGAAAATTCATTACCAATGTCCCATGTGATAGAACAAATCTTCCCTAATAGTTATAAATACATAATAGTAAAAACCAGGCCTACCTACCCAATTGTTGATTTGTACTGAACATGCCAATGACTAATCTGCTATTCTTAGAATACCATGTAATTTATTGATACTTTTCAGAAAAATCTAACAGTTATTGAAATTTTATTTTATTTTGTGTTTTTTTCCAAATATTAAGCAGTAAATTACATTTGGGTCTATGCCCCTGGATAAATAATAGAAGGGCTAAGCTCGTCACCATGAAACTGAATATGTACTTTTTTAGTCCATAAAAATACTATAGTCACTTAACAGTTATTTTTTTATGTAAAACTTACTTGATATAGGCAGTGGCGTGGCGAACTAAAAATATTCCAGAGGTCACCCCCCATGTAAATGACTCACCTCACATGTATTTGCATGTAACAATAAGTACAATCCTTGATACCCACCCCCCAATATTTGAAAAATCCCAGAGTCAATTGCCTCTGAAATTACTCTTTGCCATGCCACTGAGTATAGATACATTTGTAGAAACTCTAATCTTAATGATTCACTTCCAATAGGTATACTCAATTTCATAAAAGAGTAACCTTAGGCGATAACTGATATTTATCATGTTCAGTAATAAGACTGCCCCCATAATATTGTTTTGCAAACTTGGTTTTCAACCATAATAGAATTTTAAAATAAGGCTCTTAAGAGGGTGCAACCCCCGTATTTGTTGTATCAGTCTTACAAACGTGTAACATACCAAATTTATGTACAGCAGTTCACTTTTTATTTCATTAGCTTAAAAAGTAGAGTGAATGATCTACTATGAAACTTGATGGTAAGAACATTATCTGTGTTTTATTGGAACTATTTTTACAATAATTCAGTTTTTAATTGAGTTATGAGCATTTTTATTTTACCATTTAACATACATTCTAACTCAATTAAAAACTGAATTATCGTAAAAAAAATAGTTCCAACAAAGCACCGATAATGTTCTTACCATCGAGTTTTATAATAGGCCTATTCACTCTAATTTTTAAACTAATGGGATAAAATGTGAACTACTKAGCGTAAATTTGCTATGTTACGTGTAATAAGACTGGACAATAAATACAGGTGTTGCGTCTTCTGAGGAATGTGACATTCCAGTTGCATTGGTCATACAGGCATACCGATTTCTGCAGTTGTGCGCTGGGGCCCTATACCTTAGGAAATCATAATAATATGAGAGTATGATACTGTTAATATATACCTATACTTTTGTAAATCGCATACTAATATTCTAATTGTGTGGCTATTAAATTAATTTAAAGGACTGCCTAGTAAAATCTTACCAAAAACCAAATAAAGTATTATCTAACAAAATTGTTATTTCTTTTTTTTAGATGAAAGTTGATGACAACGATAATGGCAAATCTACTAAGTTGTGTCAATTTTGCATGGAGTATATTGATATATGGCGAGGACACATCGAGCGAGCTGCAGCTTGTCAATTGGTAGTGGAAATTTTTGCTAATAAAGTATGTTGTTGATAATTTAAAGTTTATTACTGTAATTGATAGGTAGACAATGATCTATAACTATGCCTATATTCTGTTCTATATTAAAATAGACCTTGGTGGCAACCAGTGTTCTTCAGTCGTAGTCAGGCATATCTACCAAATCGATGTGCAAGGACCATGTGCAATTTTTTTTTMATTGAAATCTAAAACTTATATCTTAAGTGTATTTTTCCTTAACATAATTAATTGTTAAAGATTAATATATTTGTTTTTTACTGCAAATTAAATTTAAATTTAAATATTCACTATTGGCTATTAACTTTACAATTCATATTTGAAATAACTCTGAAATCCATTATCACATTCATCTCTAAGCATAAAATAGCAAATTTACATTTAGCAAATCACGTTAGCGTTAGTTTAAAAATTAAAGTGAATCAACCTATTATGAAACTTATTGTTAAGAACATTATATGTGTTTGTATTTGGGTTTTTCTACGATAACTTAGATTTTTAGTAAGTTATGAGCATTTTTAATTTACATATAACATACTACAACATTTAATAATTATCGTAAAAATCCACTTACAAACACAGATAATGTTCTTAACATCAAGTTTCTTTATAGGTCAATTCACTCTAATTTTTAAACTAATGGAGCTAAACGTGATCTGCTGAGCATAAATTTGGTATGTTATGCATTTGTAAGACGAAGACAACAAATAGATGTGTAGTGTCAACATTTAATTTACTAGTTTCAATAGTGTGTTATTAGTTTTTTTATATTGGAGAATTCCCTATCATCAAACTTTTAGATAAAGACATCTATTATCTCTGCTTAAGCCCAAACAAGTTTTTGATTATTTAATTTTCAAACTAGAACAAGTACCTATGTATATATAACAAATTTTCTTGCTTGAAAATGGAAATATCAAATAAAAGCTGAGGCTTAAAAAGAGTAGTGTTCTGATCTTAAAGATTGATAATAGTCAATTTACTCTAATAACAAAACCATAATTTTAAATAGGTAATACAAAGATAACTCAGCAGCTCCTAAGTTATTAATGGTTGTATATTTAATACTTGATAGTAATATCAACTACTACCTATTATTAATAAAATTACTGTCATATTTGTGTATGCTAAGAATGTAATTAATATAATTAATATTAATATATATTAATATAAATTAATATTTATTAATATTAATAAATATTATTAATATTAATAAATATTAATTAATTAATATTTACCATACAGTTAAACACTGTACACTATAGCTTACACTAGGTCTATAGGCACATCGCATCACAACTGTTGATAAATTATTTTTAGATTAACTTTTGTTGCTCGTAAATTGTAATAGCATTTATTATAAATGTGTGATCTTAAATACTATGCAGAACCTAGTCCCTTAATTTATTTTAAACAGGTATAATGGTAAACAAAATTATATTCTATTTATAGAAGAATTATTTAAATTAATTGTTTATAATTTTTAATTATTTTTTACATTGTTTATGTAAATTTGCAAATGACTCGAGTACCAAGTAGACCCATTACCTAACTATGTTAATGAATGCAGATTTTATATTCACTCAATTTTCCTCCAATAGCATTTTATACATTTGATCGCATTAAAAAAGTAATTTTTATATTATCAAAATTATTATTTTAACAGCAATAGCTACAGATTCCTATAGCAAATAAAAATAATACTAATTATCTCTGATGGTATATTAATTAGTGATATTGTATGCGTGTCAAAACTAGTCCTTAGGTATTTTTGATTAACCAAAGTTGTAAAAACAAGCTATTAACTTTTTAACTATTCATTTTTGTTTTTTTGTCATAGTGGAGATATAATGCATCATCTATTGCTGCTGCTACTGCAGCAGCTACTTCTGCTGCTGCTAAAACTGCTACAGTTGCCGCCGCTGCTGCTACTGCTGCTGAAACTGCTGCAAATGCTGCTGCTATTGCTGCTAGTGTAGCCGAAACTGTTGCAGCTACCGCTGCTGCTGTCGCTGCTGCTGAAACCGTTGAAGATGCTATTACTACTCCCCAGACTGTGAATAAACCATCATCATTTGCTTCAAACACAATAAATAAAATAACATCTAGTGACAATAAGATCAAAAAAAGATCCAAGAAAAGAAAAAGATCCATGCCAATACATGAACATGCAGTTCCATCGACGTCTACATCCAGTGACATGTTTCAATCACCATTAGAATTGACTCAACATGGATCAGATTTTTCTTCCCCGGCAAATTCAACAGATACTATTCCATTTGCATCAACTTCGACTGAAATTCCATTTGCATCAACTTCGACTGAAATTCCATTTGCATCAACTTTGACGGAAATTCCATTTACATCAGCTTCAGCAGAATTTATTCCACTTGCATCAACTTCAACAGAAATTAATCCATTTGCTGCATCAACTTCAACAGAAATAATTCCAATTGCATCAACTTCAGCAGAAATAATTCCAATTGCATCAACTTCAGCAGAAATTATTCCGTCATATACCGTTAATGAATTATCAGGTGCTAATCCAATCTGGTATTCAATGGCAGATGAAATAACAGATGATGTGCCCCCACCAGTAATGATTCCCAGATCTAACTCATATAAACCAGAATATGTATGTATATTTTGCACTTATCAACATGAAGAGGTATCACTAAATGTGTACAAACATATAATATTTTGTCCTAAACATTCTAAACCCTACGCTTGTTTGATTGAAAATTGTCACTCAGTATTTCCCAATAAAGATGTCTTTATTTCACATTACCGTACTCATTTGAATCTCAACAGTTCGACTTTTTTGTGTCGTCAATGCTTTGGTGTTTTGACTTGTTGGAGAAGAACTGGTCATATACACCAAAATGTATCAGATTTGTTCAAATGTTGTTCCCTTACTTTCCCTTCAATAACTAAATTAGTTCTTCATAAACTTATAAATCATAGTGCAATAGTTGTCTCAAGTAACGGTCGATCTCGTATCCTACAAAAACCAAATATGTCTATTAAGAAAACAGAACTGGATGACGTTAAAGTTGACTTGGATATACCTGACATAGTATCATGCAATGAGATAGTTAAAGATAATGGAAGTTTTAAGTGTTATTGTTGTCCCTTATATTTTACTACAGTTCTTGAATTTATTAATCATAGTAAGATAAAGCATAAGAATTTAATTACATTAAAAGAAAAAGGAATAAAATTATGCCCTCTGTGTGAAAACAGTTACTTCATCGAACACTTCAGCGAGCATATTGAAATGTGTACAAATACCTTGAAAGTTGGTGAAAAGTCATTGAATTATTATGGATGTGTTTACTGTAAATTTATTTTCACAGATATATCTGCCAGAGAAATTCGCAACCATGTTCTATATTGCAAATCATTTAAATTAGGTATTGTCAATAACAAGCTTCATCATATATGTAACAATTGTACTTTTAAAAGTACTAATGATAAATTATGTTTAGAACATGCAAATTCTAATTGTATTTACTTCCAATTAAAAATGAGATATGCAATGGGACCAGATSAAAAAAATAAAGTTATACAACGAATGGAATTTATCAAACAAAACACTCAGCAAAAGGAGGATGAAAATAATGAAGAACTTTCTGTTATATCAAATACAGTTTGCAATAAAGCTAGACAAAAGTTACTCAAATGTTATAAATATTATTGTAATAATTGCAAAAATCATTTCTTTGATACAGTGGTCTTTTTAAAGCACTTGACTCTAGCAGGATCTTATTGTCGATCTCAAAGTTCAATCTACTGCCAAAAATGTGTAACTGATTTTGAAACTGTGGCAGAGTATCATAATCATTTACCTACTATGCCAGAAGCATCACCAATAGTAACAATAAAGCAAGAATTGTTTAATCAAAATAACGATGAGGACGGTAATATTATTATGGATTTAGTACGTACAAATCATAATTATTGTGATGTAAAAGTGTTTGAAATAAATAATGGGACGTTTGTTCAAAAACAAGAACCTTCAAATTTTGATGATATTAACGATATGGAATATCAAGAACAGGAACAAGAAGTTTCAAATATTGATTTAAATAACAGTTTTGCATGCCAAGAAATGGAGATAGACAATGATATTTACATGCAATGTGAAGTTGAAGATAAACCGGATTTGAGTCAATTGTTGCCAAGAAACGGGGAATAACATGTGTATATCACATAATTCCAATAATATTAAAACTTGACATAGTTTTATACTTTCAAACTTTTACTTGATTATTAAAATTCAATATTGTTATTTATATTGATAATATAATTTCTGTAGTTTTTTAATAGCTATTAACTTAAAAATTACCTATTCCATATTACTTTTTTTCCATTGAGAAAGGATTATATTAGTAAATTTATAATCATGAATTTAAATGCACAGTTTTGATGTAAGTAGTCATGCAGCTTATTCATTTTTTTAAAGTTACACTAGAATACTTTATATTTGTGTATTTAGTTAAGATGTTTATTAATGTTGAAATCTTAACATAAATTCCAAAATATATAATTAAATAATAACAATTAAATATTTAGATATATTAGTATATTATTTCCGACTGATTTGATTTTTTATTATTATTATTAATTTTGAATTTAAAATTGTGACCTTAATATGTATTTTTGTATATTGTTACTAAATGTACTAATTTTAAATTAATTTTAAATATATATAACRTACTCAAATGTTTATTAAATAATATCTGAAAGAATTATGTATTTCTTTCAATATTGACTATAATTTTTTTATATTATTTAAGAAGTATTTATTTTACTTATCATAAATTTATTGTGTTAAGACTTGACTATTTTTAATTTAAATTAGACATTTTTTTTAATTGTTTACTTTGATTTGACTATGTAGTATCCCCTTACTATTTATGWTTTGAAATTTTTTGCCCTGATTCATATGTACCAAGCTTTTACATATTGTGATACATTTTTCTACATTATTTTTCAATTAGGTACCAGAGATAACCCAAAAAAAAAAAAATACATTTTTGTTTCCGATGTTATTGTATAAAACTACTCGACAAAAACTATTTTAACTACTTAGTTATATTTTACTCCTTTTAAATTCAACTTGTATGTATGTTTTAAAACTATTACATTATATATATACATACATACATACACACTAAGCTATTTTCGTACAAAAAATAAATCATTTAATAATATTATTTATTATTTATTACATTTTTTTTTTTATAACAAAACATGACCATTAAAATAAAAAATTTTCTTTTTGAAGTTCATAATATTAATTTAGAAAAATGTTCAAACAACTAAAATTACATTATTATATATATTATTATTATTATTATTATTATTATTAATTATTATGCCATATTTTAGATTTATTAATGTAAAAACAAAATTATAAAATACTTGCTTATTGTGTAATATATATATTTCTTTTATAATATATCAAAAAGCCAAAAATGGTTCTAAATCTTAAAACTGCTGAAAATAGGTACATTGTTGTATTASAATTATTTTTTCTGTATGCTATTTAGGTAACTTGTAACACCGAGAAATTGGTCGAGCCAATGTTTTATAAATTACTTAAAACATAATTTACTCCAAAACTATGTACATTAATAATAAGTATTGTTATGCTTGTATATAATAAAATGTATAAGTCTAATAAAGATTTGAAATATTTAAAAACAATTTTTGTTTTGATATGATTGAAAATAGAAAAAATAGAGTGAAAATGTCTACCACATAATATTATATTTTTATTACATTATACTCGCGTAATTAGAAGAAGTACAGTGTATATTAATATTTACTAATATTGTATTGTTACATAATATTAAGTTTATATTATATATTTGATAAGAAAAAATGTTTTCTGTCCAAAAAATATAAGCGCTTTCGTAGACCGTAGTAATACATATATAATTATTTTATTATTCTCACGTGATACAATTACAATATCTCAAATTACTCTAAACTTAAAAAAAAATAATGCTTAATAATTATTATTGATATTTAAATTTTCTAGGCTCGCCTCGTGTGTGTTGCTTTTTATGTATTTAGCTAAACTTCACGAGTGCCGTGGTACTGGTCAATTGTGTTATTCGTTGGATGAATGCAGAGCGAAGCCTTTTTTTTTGATAATGTATAATTTCATTAACGCGAAACTCAAAGTTTCATAAAAAAATCTCGAGGCCCCGCTGACCCCTGTCTAAAGTCGGCACTGGATGAACTATATTATGATCGTTGCCGCTATTTTACTCAAATGTAATAGGCGATTTGCCGATTTCTTTGATGCGGGTCTTGGGTTAATTTAAAATACTGTTAATGGTATAATAGTTACAATTTTTTGATTCTCGACGATGAAATTACGTGTTTTTTAGTCGTACGAGTGCCTTCAGAAGAGTGCTTAGAACATACAATAGCTGCTCCACGTTTATACTTAATCGTTTAWAAATATTGATAAAAAAAAGAAAAAATGCGTAAACGACGGGTTCGGCCGCTAACGAACAAAAATATACTTAATTATAATATATGCTGGAGTACTGGAAATTCGGGTTGGCGTGTTTTCTAAAATTGGGTAAAAAATTTTTAACATAATGAGTGTCTAACTCGACGGTTGTTTAAAGAGTAAAATAAAAGAGTTTTTCCAGGGCAATAATCAGTAACGTCCAGGCGGGTAAGCAAGTTAGTGCAACTGCATGTGTTCCTGTGAGGGGTAGGTGAAAATTACAGGTTTGACAGGGGAGCTTATAAATTTATAATATTACACTATATTACTTTAGTCTATAATTCATTTCCGTTAACTATACACTCATTATTAAGTAAGCATAATTGAGTAAATTGTGAATTGCAGCAATTTTTATCTAAATAAAAAACGAATGGGTGAGTAACTTTTAATTGTTTGTTCTCACAAAATACTTCTACTGCCTACAATGTGGCATGATGTTACATATTAAAATATTGTTATTGTTTTAGGTACTCGTCGAGTTTGGACGTGTAAAAATTATCGCAGATATCTATGAATATTAATTAAAGTATTAATTAAATTATGCAAAACCTAAATGGTTAAGATACGAATGAAAAAAAAAATGTTTGATATTATGATAATTATAATTATTAGGTATAACAATCAGTCGCTATCTCATAATGTTAAAAAGATGATATTTATTTTCAGAAGGTACCAATTAACATGGGGGGGGGACGACATTCCGCATTGTAAGTAGAAGCGCCCCGATTTTTTCCTAAAATCTATCAACCCGCTAATGATAAAAAGAACACGTGATGGGCTTTTTATACATTTTGTTCAATTTATTGTATTTTAACAGGAGTGTGTCGCCGTTATATTCGATGTTAGAAGTTTCGAACAATCGAGACGAACAAAATAAGCCATCGAAAATGTAAGAACTGGTAGGCGAATATTAGTTGATCGATAGATCGTGTATCGTGGTAATATTTTTGGTATTAATTTTTTATTCGATTTTCTTTGCTAGAATTGTCAGACGCGCTCTAGATTAAAATTATAATATCATTACGATGATAACGTAGCAGCAGTCGGTTCGAGGGCGTTATTAATAAAATTGTAGGTACCTAATTAGAAGGCAATATTGTGTAAATCGAATTAAAGTATAATTTTAATGTAGATATATTTTATTATATAGATTGTCTGTTTTGTAATATAGGTACTATTATTTGTATTACCTATTATAGTTTATCACCTAATACAATAAAATACGTWTAAAAGAAATCGTCGAAACAATTATATAAATTGTAGAAAATGAATTGAAATCGATTTTAAAAGAAAACTGTCAGTTCCACATTACGCATGTTTGCATTTTTTTTTTTTTAAGAGAGAGAGGGTGGGTAAGACACAGGGACACAATCATACACTCAGCGAAAGTCAATCAACTAAAATTACGATTATGCACCTACGCTGTAAAAAAAACAGTATTTTTTTCTAAACATCTATTTTATTTTAAGTTTATTTTTATTTGTCTTGATGGAAGGAGGATTGGGATGGGGAGACATCATAATACATRATAYATAAATACAATAATATATTATTACCTACAGGTAGGATGGTAGGAAGGCACTTATATCAGCGTATGGCATTTAACGACAGTTGTTACAGAGGACATACCTATTTCACGTTGGAAGACAGTGGGAACAAAAGMACTCTTAAACCTAAGTTTTATTCTATAGTTGTATACATTTATTTGGTAGGATTCGATTACTGATTCGTTTTGTTGGCGACGAGACCGACGAGGAGGGCCGTCGTGTACATAAAAACCTAATTAGTTTTGCAGAAAACAATAACAATGTACAATTTACTATATAATATTCAGGTACCTAATGTATATAATAATTTATATTATATTATTATAATTATATCACGTCAGACAAACATTTCGGTCGAGTAGCAAAACGTTCAATACTTAGTTATACAGTAGTAAGGTACACGTATAAGGTATATATAGGTAACCTCATATGACATAAATGTATATATATAATATATTATATTCATTTAAAAAAAAAATAAAGTGCAAAGTAAAAAATACAATTTTTCGTTTCATATTATGTATAAATATATGCAAGTAGGCGGTATACGTATATTATATACATAACACATATATATAAGTATATGCATTACATTTTTAGTACATGAAAAAATGCCCTATGGCTTAAATTGTAATCACAAAAAATATATATGTTTATGAATTTATTATTACTATGTATAATATATGTGTATATATTATTTATATTAATATAATTAAATTTTAAAAAAACTTACTAAAACGATAATTTTGCTACTTAAAAAATAATAGTTTCTAACTCTAAAAAAACCCATGTATTTCATATAACTTTAATATGTATATAAAGAGTAAAAAAATACCAAATAAGTTAAAAAATTATAATAAAACATTTACTAAATAAAACTTTTAATTTAAAGCTTCAAAATTAAAAAAAAATCGCATGCAATTTTTTAAATTTGATAATATTATATTTATCTATATAATGATGAAAACAATAATAAATTTTTTTTTTAAGTAAACCTCGATTTATATTGCAAAATGCAAGTACAAGTTAATAACTGGCGAGATCCATCGATAAATTTTCCAGTATAACAATTTTTAATTTTAATTTTCTTAATATTGTCATAACAAATTTACTACATTTCTACAAAAGAACATTTTAAATAAAATATTTAATTTTTACTTTACGTATTTCCTAGGCCGATTTACAATTTACAAATATTATTTATGATTATGATTATTATATTATTATTAAACACCTATATATATTTTCACTATTATTGCGATTAGATTGTTCGTGTTCAGTTTTAAATATTATATGTTAGAGCATGAAATTTGAAAAGAAAAAAATGATTTCTAAAGATGAGGTAAAAGGTATTAAGGTTAGGTAGGGAGATTCTATTCATAGAAATATTTTGACTTGAAAAATWAATTAATTTAATATAATAATTTAATATCTAATATAATATTCGATAATATAATATTTTTTTTTTTTTGGTTTTTTGTACCTATTTAGAGAACTGAATATTTGATGTTCACAGAACACATATTTGATATAACACATTAATGTAATGGAGCGACAATCAATTATTTAATCAAATATTCAAATGTATTTCTATATAGTATACGTGTATATAATAAGTATAATAATTAGCCTAGACGTTAAGTATCTTTAATTATTATCATCGGACTCTGAGTATATTATATATTTATGTATATAATGTACGTGTTATTATCATAAATTAAGGTCTAATCCTCTCATTGGTAAAAATATTTTATTTTTTAAAAACATCTCATTAAGTCTGTATGATAAGTCATAAATTGCTTAAAAAAAATAAATTTATATATGCGTTAATTTAAAAATATTAAAAAGTTTTAGTCAAAAATAAGAAAAGAAAAATAGTGTAAAAAACTAATAATAATACTTATGGGTGATCAATCACATATTATTATAATATATGTATTGACGTTATTAAAATTTTATTTTTTTATTTTTTTTTGTGTTATTATATATTTTATTTTATTTTTCCAAAGAGAATAAACATTTTTTTTTATTAAGTGTCTGCTCAAATGGTAGATTATATTATAAAGTAGTTGTAGTAGTTTTCGAGCATTGGCCTAATATTGCCTATATCGATATAATATTTGAAATGATGTCAATAGAGATAATTTACTATAGTTTTAGAAGCCAATGGGTAACAGTAGTATATGTATATWATATAGTTTTAAAATGATGTTGACAGGTGAATGAGACAAGCTCACTGCTATTAAAATACGGGAATTGGAAAAACGGAAATAATATATAATATAATAATAACGTATGTACCTATGCCTAAAAATGTAATGTAAATAACATTCATTATTTACCTTTAAAGGCGGAGAAGGGGAAGGCGCGCCAGGGGGTTTACTTATCTATGTATATAATATGTAATGTATTAAAAGAGGGTATTATATAAAAATAATAATAATGATAACAAGGTGGGCGGATGGAGGGGATGGGGTGGGTCGGTCTTCTACCGTTTATAACTAGGTCAAGACGGTGGATGGGCCTCAAATTTTCGGTACAAGGGGAGTGGGTTTGGTGGTGATAGGGGCGCTCTTAACCGTCTMTTATCGGCCAGGCTGGCAGAAATCAGTTGGCCACCAACAAATGTTGGAAAGGACTGGACCTATACGATGACGACGTCGACGATCCCAATCCCATGGCGTTGTAGTTGTCCTGCATCTTTTGCTGCTGTTGCTGTTGTTGCTGTTGCTGATGCATCGGAGTTACGGTGGACTGCATCTGTTGCCCCGTACCATAATTGGCCGGCGACAGCGGGCCCATGGGCGAACCGCCAAAGTGCTGTGGCCCGAAATCTCCGCCGAAGCTCTGCCAACCGCTACCGCCGCCGTTGGCAAACTGCAATTGCGGTGGTGCGTAATCCGCAGTGGCAATATTGCCGCTGTTCCGGTGATAACCGCCTCCATTGGACTGCCGCAGCCTTTGGTAACCGGCACCGCCGCCTTGGTGATTGTTGTTGTACTGTTGCTGCTGGAAGAAGTAGTTGGACGCGACGTCGCCGTTCTGGCCGCCACGGTGGTGTTGCTGCACCGGCGACACCGGACGTTGCTGCTGTTGTTGCAGGACACCCGCACCACAGCCGACCACAATTTGTTGCTGCTGCATGGCCGCCCKCTGCTTGATGTAGTTGGCGAACTCTGTCGGCGACATCCTGCAGAAAACAGAAAAACAAAAGTCAGTCAGCCCCATTGTTCGTTATTGGATTACAGCAAAACACTTTTTGTACACTATTATTATAACTCTTAGTACCTACCACTGACGCATGCGCCAACGTTATACGATATCATATATTATGTAACYACTTCCTTCACGGAAAATTAAAAAATTACATCTCCGAAATTAATTCCCTGATGTTAGAACTACTRAAAACCTTTCGGTTCACGTATAGATATAATAMACTGCTATAAATAATTAMACAAGTTTGCCCTATGCCCTACATGGATAATTAATCAATTCAAAAATACGAAAACTTCCACAATCCACTAAAATCAAGAAGTGAAGCTTTCACTTCAAAATCGGCATAAAATATTTATAAGAAATTAAGATCACAATATTGTCACAATTCTTTTCCGTTTTATTACATTTTATGTTATAATAAGTTCACATTTCAACTTTATTACGACCCTGCAGGTATAATGATCCATTATACGTATTTAAGTTATTTGAAT